ATTAACATATTATTATTATTATTATTCAACATAAATAGTAAGAAGTTAAGGCTTCAGTTCCATTTAAATACATGATATGGACATAAATAAAATAACGAACTGTCTATTTATAAAGTATTTGGATATCCTGTTATTCTTTAGTGAATTTGGCAAAAAGAAATGCCACAATTAACTTTTTAAATCACACAGCAACCTAACAACAACGAGGAAAGCCTTTCCAAATATTTAGCGACACGATTCCAAATTAAGATTTTGATTTTTATTCATTCATCAGAATAAGAAGCTTTTGGAACACTATAAACTAAAAACAGCCATTAAAGTTCGATTACAATATTTTATTTTAAAACAGTCAAAATCAATCAGTTTAAGAGCAGCTTTTCTACCTTGGTCACATCAATCTGTAAATAATCTACTGGGTTCATGTCCCGACCTGACATGCCTTACTCCAGATGTGCTTGCCTGAGTCCCAGCCTCTAATTTTTCTGTATTTTCTAAAGTACAATCCACACAGAATGATGCCGCTATGGCTGCGTATGACTGCAGGGAAGGTATTAATGAGGTTTTGCTCTGTTCTCCCACGTGTACTCCCACACTTTCCAGCCAACATTTCAGGGAACAACGTTCAAAGAGGCTAAGGTCTGTTTCAACATCATCGCCCATCTAGCTTCAGGCAAACTGCAAACAGTCCATCATGCTGGGCCTTAAAGAGAGAAGTATGTTTGAGTGTGACTCTGTGTTTTCAATTCCATGAATAGAATAAGGATCAAAGTCCATGTTTGGGGTGTTCTTTTTCCTAACATAAAATAGAATAGAATACAATTAAACTTTATTGCCATCACATTTTGTCACAACTACAAAGCAACAAAATTCGCTCTCTGCATTTAACCCATCCCTTGGTGAGCAGTGGGCTGCCATTGTGCGCATCCAGGGAGCAGTGTTTTGGGTTAAGGGTTTTGCTCAGGGACCAAGAGATGCAGTTTGTGGCAGTGGGGTCTGAACTCAGAACCTTTGGGATCCAAGCGCAATGCCCTAACCACTAGGCCACCCCTCCTAACATGTTTAATAACAAATATCTTTTTGCTTATTCACATTTGGATTACTGTACATGTTACAATGTCAGAGAACAAGGAATTCCAGCACCTGAATTTTAGCCAACTTTACCCATTTCAAAACCTCTTTTGATGGGTGTTTGGAATCGGTGTCCAGCTGTGTCCAACTTTAAACTATCTATCTTGCACTCTCACCCTGAGATTAAAGGACAATGTTTGGGAGGTTTAGGAACAAGCTGGGAGCAATTAAGCATTAATCATGCAATGACATTGAAACAGTTAGACATTAAGTGTTTTCTGTCCACAACAGAGTAGGTTTTACCTCAACCTGAGTACCAAGAAAGAAGCCCCTGCTCTAACATCCACACCTGAAGGTCAATTTATTTTGTAGCTGTCCACAAAGACAAGCCAAATACCTTCTGGAAAAAGAATAATTAACAATCAGATGAGACAAATATGAACCAAAATGACACAGGATGCTTGGAGGACACAATGGGAGGATTTGAAACCTAAGAAGTCGGTACTAGCTATCCAGCATGATGATGACAGAATCCTGTTGTGGGTATTTTCACCTGCTTACAATGGGGAGGAGAAATTGAAGGAGCGGTGCATCTAAATTTGTCAATATAACCTTAAATCCACATATAAATAATTGAAACCCGGACATGTCTGGGTATTCAACTCCAAATACACTTCATAACTGGGTTTGGAATGAGTTCGGCAGGGCTGACTTAAGATCTAGTGCAACCTTCCCAAACCTCAACGCCACTGTGTTGAAGGCTGCTTTCATTTAGACATCAAAGTCTAAAAATAACCAGATAATTTGAATAAACTATTCTAAGTGGACTTAGAGCAGCATACACCTGAAAATTTTTGCAACTTGTTTTTTTCTTTACTTCTTTTATGCATGTAAAGATTTGACAGGATTAACTAATGCATAACTTCTGTTCTCAAAATTTGCTGCTCGATGATCACATTATCTTGGTTGTTCTTGGTTGTTCATCATGATTGTGTGGATACTTCTTGCTGAAACTGCAGCACAATTGTATCATTAAAATCGCATCAATAAGCTACACAAACTAGTAAAGGCCCTTTAGAGAATTTAAAACAGCAAACAGGTGGTCTTCAGATGTAATTTATACCCTTAACAAGAAGCAGGATTGCCAATTAAATCACTTGCATAATGTCTCATTTAGAAATGTATTCATATCAGCTGAGGATAGAATCTTTATTAAAGATATTGACACATGTGTGTGTGTGTGTGTGTGTGTGTGTGGGG